ACATACATACATACATACATACATACATACATACATACATACATACATACATACATACATACATACATACATACATACATACATATACATATACACACAATTTATATCTTTTCATAGTTAATTTGTTGCATACTTTCTTTTCATTATATGCATATATGTTCATTTCAATATGAACCATACAAATTTTTTTTTTATTTTTTTATTTCTTTTGAGGGGCCACACAACGTCGGGGTGGGGGGCATCCCCCAATCTAGGTGAAGGCAGGATTTGACCCCAAGGCTCCGCTACAACTAGTACGAGACCTTACCAACCAGCAGGTTGGCACATTGTACACTTATTATTTTTACTAGCAACAACCCGTGCGATGCATGGAATTTATCAAGGAAAGTGAAATAACCAAAACTTATAACTAAGGAAAGAATACAATGTTGTTTAAAATAATTAAATCTTTATTTTAATAATTTGTTACAAAAGTGTTTTACTAATTTAGTAGTTTAGTAATTTGGATTAATTATATTAATATTTTAACAAAAATAAAATAAAATCTTGCCAATTACTTAAGAAAATAATTATTTTTCCATATTATTTGCTAGTGTTCTATTTTATTTATTTACTTTATTAATAATTAAATGCTTTAATTTTTTGTAAATATCACTTAAATATTTAAAATGCTTAAAAATAGAAAATATATAAAATTAGGCTATAGTCATAATTAAATTAATCTATAGTTGACTTTTTTAGTCATAATTAAACTAATCTAAGCCAAACTTAAGGTATAAGACTTTGGATTAGGATTGGATTGATCCTCATCCTAACTCAACCCACCCAAGTTGCACGCATCATAACATTTGTAATTGGATTAAACCAAACCGAATGCAACCCATACATGCACTCGGTTTTCTATTTTTTTTTAGTTATTTTTAGATAATAATGAAGCCCAGGGAGCTATGAAGGATGGGCTACCCCCATTGTGTAGCCCAGTGAAAATTTTGATCGTGTATTAGCAGTTTTTAAGGTTGCTTGGTCTATCCTAGCCCACACCTTAAGTGTAATAGTATTTGCCCAGGTCTACAGGTTTGATACCCAATTAGACTTCAAATCCAATTATCCCAGATTTGGATGTTAGGACTTGCATCTAGTTAATAATTCGATTGGATGRTGGATTCAACCCCATCCAATTTGATTAAAATGCACGTCTAATAAAAAATTATTATCTTGTATATGTAATATAATTACTATATACACATAAGTATTATGTATAATTATACATATATGCATTTATACTTTAAAATTCAAAATCCAACATAATAATAACCACATGTGGATGCAGATCTAGAAATTTCATAATCGGATGTTGATGTGCATATAGCTGAATTTGGTTTGAGTTTGATCCGTTTACAACCCTACTACCCACATTATGTGTGGGTTTGGTGCATATTTGAGCTAAACCTAACTCAAAAGGAAATACTTGCTTAAGCATGGGAATTTATAGATCTA